TCTTGGGACTCCAAATCAAGCAAAGAAAAGATGACATCTTCATCAATCAAGCTAAATACGTTAAAGATATGCTCAAGAAGTTTGGACAGGAAAATGGGAAACCTCATGGCACTCCAATGAGCTCATCTAAAAAGCTTGACAAAGATGGACGTAAATGTGTGGATGTTAAATTATATAGGTCAATGATTGGCTCTTTGCTTTATTTAACCGCAAGTAGATTGGACATTATGTTTAGTGTTTGCTTATGTGCTAGATTTTAATCATGCCCTAAGGAATCACATTTACTAGCTGTTAAGAGAATCTTTAGCTACCTTAAGGATACTCCTAGTTTAGGACTTTGGTATTCTAGAGACTCTAGCTTTAGCTTGCATGCCTTTTCTGATGCGGATTATGGAGGATGCAAATTAGATAGGAAAAGCACCTCCGGTACTTGCCAATTCCTTGGAAATATGTTGATTTCTTGGTTTTCAAAGAAACAAAATTGTGTTGCATTATCTACCACTGAAGCGGAATACATTTCAGCCGGTAGTTGTTGTGCACAAGTTTTATGGATGAAACAACAACTTTTTGATTATGGAATTGAAGTAGGTACCATTCCTATCAAGTGTGACAATACTAGCTCTATTTGTCTCACTAAAAATCCCATCCAACACTCTAGAACTAAGCATATTGAAATTAGGCATCACTTCATTAGAGATCATGTCGCTAAGGAAGATATAGTTCTAGAATTTGTTGATACTTTGCACCAATTAGCAGATATTTTTACAAAACCTTTAGACAAAGAACGATTTTGGACACTTAGGAGAGAATTAGGTTTAACTGACCTATCTTCACTTAGTGTTTAAAATAATTTTAGAACTTTTAATTAGTTTTAAGAAAATGCTTATAAAAATAACTCTTTTGATTGCATTCTTTGCTAATAGTTAAGGGGAGTTTATGATTCTTAGTGAAAATTTATTATATGTTTAAGGATAAAATTGATTGATTGAACATAATCAATTTTCAATAAATGAGTTGCCAATACCACTAGAGCTAAATAATTTAGCATTTTAAGTGTTTAAATCGGTTTTTTGACATTTTTGTGCATAATGCATCGATACACTAGAGAGTGTACCGATGCATCCTCTTGAATATGCATCGATACACCCATCGATGTATCGATGCATCCCTTTGAATGTGCATCGATGCACATGGCCATGCATTGATGCATCCGTCAGGTTTTTGGTTAAAAACCCTGTTTCTTCATCATTTTCTCAAAACCCATCAAACTCTCTTATGCCATCGTTCGCCTCCTCTCTACCCTAAATCTCTCTTTTACTTCAAATCAACGAAAATTAGTCAGATTTCATTCACATTTCAACTCCTAAACCTGCTAACTATCATTAATTCGTGCAAAACAACTTCTCATTCTCATCAATCTGAGATTTTTCAAGGTATTTTTCTAAAAACTCTTATTTTATCAAATTTTGATTTTAGAACTAGTTTAGATTAGTTCTAGGTTGAAAAAAAATATCGGGCATTGCTTATATGATGTTTCTAAACTAGTTTTTACAACTAATTTCATCAAAATCTCACAAATTTTCAATGAATTTTTGTATTTTCGAAATAAAAAATTCAAAAATCCTAATTTAATTTTAAATTTGATGTTTTTGATTCAATTATGTTTCTTTCATGAAAAACTATACATATTATAATTTTCAAACATTATTTTCTAACTAGTTTTTCAAAAAAAATTCCCATTAGGACTCGGTTTAGAGAACCTTGAATTATTGTGGACTCAAATGAGTTCTGGGATTGATTATATTGCATACATGTGTTTTATATTTGCAGGTTACTCATCTTATTCCATTCCTTAAACCATGTCTAATTCAAAAAAGACCTAAGTCCTCTTTATCGAGTCATTCAAATCGACCTCCCATTCATCCTCAACCTTCAAATCCAAACAATTCCAATATGACCATTATAAGTTCCTGTTTTAATATGCCTGAACGTCGTAGAGAAGAACTCTACCATAGGTACATGAATTCTTTCCAATCTTATAAAATCGTGGAAAAGTGTATTTCTTATGTTCAAGCTATGATAGATATCAACTTCGAATACCTTCCAACTCTCATATCCTGGAAGTTTAATAAATTGTTTCACCTAAAATCAATCGTCTATCATCAGTTAGTCCGCATTTTCTACTCTAATGCGGTATGTATTCAAAACCAAACTCAATGTGGGACTATAGGAATTAGATCCTACCTTTTAGGACAATATATTCATATTGACTCTGAGTCTATCGCTAAACAATTTGGGCTAGATGACAATGGTTTATATAATGAAAAAGAAATTGTGACATATCTCTATCTTCCTAATGCTAGTGTTAGTACTCTACGATCTCATCACGATCGATTTCTCCATTTGATGATCTCTTGGTGGTTTAGACCATCCGGAGGTAGGTACTCCACTCTCTGTATTAGGGATTTATAGTGGATACATTGTATCCAACATAACAGGAAAATCAATTTGCCACAAATCATTTTTAGTGAACTAGTAGATACCATAAATGTTGTCCCTTCTAAACATGTCGAAACTTTAGTTTATGGGTGTCTACTTAGTAATCTTTTTATCAAACTCGATCTTAACGTCTCTCTTGACAATCCCATTCCTCTTCAAAACCAAATCAATCTCATCTCCTTGAAGAAAGATGATTGGAAACAGGATAAGGAAACTGGTTAATGGGTTTATCAACCCTCTAAGCAAACTCCGAGAGCTAGTTTTTCACGAGCACCTTCTGCTCCTAGCTCCTCTCGTACTCCACCTCCACCGGCTACAGATGATGATCCCGAGCTTCAAGGGCTATTTCAAGATATTGACGATCCCGACAATGCGCCGGCACAACAAGAGGATCAAGTGCCTCCATATTTCCGTTCTTTTTTTGAGACATTTGATCTACGGTTTGCTTCCATCGAATCCCATTTAACTGCAAACAACGAAGCGGTGAATCATCGCTTAGACACTTTGGAAGCTCAACAAATGGAGTTTCAAAGGGAGATGCTTGCACGTATGGATGCTCTTACTCTTGAGATGTAAGCACGATTTCCTCCTCCTCCCGATCCTTCTATGGACGAGTAGACCTTGTTTTGTTTTTTTTTTGGATCAACTTAGAAATTTACTTGTTAAAATAATTTGAATGCTTTTGGATTGTTTTACTTTGATTATTGGATGTTTGAATTTGTTTGGATTTATATTTTGGTTGCTTTGGATATTATATCTTAATATATATATGTTTGGTTTGAATTTTCTTTTTGATATTAATACTTATTTTTGCATCTTTAGACATATATGACCAATTATCCATTACATGTTTATGAATATTGATTATGAAAACTAATGGCTAATCTCTCTTTCATTTTTTATATTAGCAGCTTAAGCTTTAATTTTATAAAGAACAATTGGCTTATTTTTTAACAAATCTTGTTTAAAAACGTTTTAGAGTCTTTTTGATTTAACAAAAAGGGGGAGAATAGAGTAAGGGGGAGTAAATTAAATTTTTCAAAATTTTTTACAAAAATTATGTTCAAAGAAAATCTTAAAATTACTCAAATGTTTTGTTATATTAAAAAGGGGAAGATTGTTGAAAAACATTTTGATGTTTCGATATAACAAATTAAATATAAATGAATTTTAAGATTTTACAAATGATTTTCTAAGTATATTCGATTTAATTACTTGAATAACAAAATATTACTCCAAGTCTTTCAAAGATCAATTTCAATCCTTACTAAAGTGTAAAATTGTGTTTTAATCTTAAAATATTTTTGAAACAATTTTCACAAAGTATTTCAAACCAAGAAACGAGCCTAAAATCAATCTTTCAAAAGAGTGTACCGATGTACCAATCCAGCATCGATGCACCCTTGAATAAATTGAACATCGAATGCATTTTATGCATCGATGCACCCTTAGTGCACCGATGCACTAAGTGTTCCAACGGTCGAAATATTTGAATTTTACACATAGTGTACCGATGCACTATCCCTATGCATCGATGCACACACGCTCCCAACTGATTTTATTAATTATTTTCACACAATAACGGCTCTAATGACTTCATTAAAGATCCCAAATGTTCAAAAGTGATTCAAGGAGTATTTAAACAAGCTTAGAAGCCATTGATCAACAACAAGAATCAAGAGAGATTCAAAGAGAAAGCATCAAACCTCAAGTTTGAGCATTTCAAGCCTATTTTTCATTCAATATTCATTTTGTTTTCAAGAACACTAATTTTACTCAATTGTATTCATTTTTAAGTGTTTTTTCTTTGTTCTAGAATTGTGAAAACACATTTACCTTGTGAGGTCTTTTCATTAAGTTTGCAAATTTGTAATCTTCTCTTTAAGAAATATTGTTCTCAAGAATTGGGGTATATTCTTGAGGGAGTTGTAAGGTTATCTCTTTGGCCTCAAAAGAAATAACAAATTAGTGAATTTGTTGGAAAATCCTTAGTGTGGATAGCTAAGGTAGTGTACGTAGACTTTGGTTAAGAAAGTCGAACCACTCTAAATCGCTGTGCAAATCTTTTCAATTTTATGCAAAAGCTTCCACCAAAATTTTAATTGCCAATTCAATCCCCTCTTGACCGATTCCATCAATCGATTAACTCAACACCAAGTGACAATCAAAGAACAAGTGCTCCCTTGTTTCAATAACTACATTACATAGAACACAGTTTCCATCCATATCAATCCCTATTCGTTGAAGCCGAGTATGAGTGGGTAGTCTATCCAATAAAGCCATCTATGTAATCATACTATGTTTAGAGATATGTGAAGAAAACCATACCAGATTGTGCCAGGGGACCTTGTCGCCTTCTACCCTAATTTGCTCCCATATATCCATTGCTTTGTTTGCTCTATTTGAAAGAACTAGAAAAACTTCAGTTCTTAATTTGAGTATTCTTTTTAAGCACCAACTGAGGTTAGAACCTCCTTCCATAAGCCATAGGTCATTATCCTTTATAACATAAGCTTTGATCCAAGCAACCCATATGAAGCCCTCTCCTGCCATAATTTTCCTGATTAGGTTAATCATACAAGCTCTATTCCATGATTTAATGTTTTTCAGTCCAAGACCTCTCTCCGATTTGGATTGACAGATTTTCATCCAACTAACACGCGCACCAGTGGCAACCTTGTCAGATCCTTTTCAGAAGAATCTGGAACAGAGTTGTTCGATCTTGGTAATAATAGATTATAGCAGGATAAGTTATCTGCACCAATAATTTGCAACGCTGAATAGAACATATCAGATGAGTTCTAGACGACCAGCATAGCTCAGGTGTTTACCATACCAAAATTGGAGCCTTGATTTTATTTTTCCCAATAAGCATTTCACAATCTTTTTCAGAGAGCTTTCTGGATACTAAAGGAACTCGTAAGTATCTTACATGAAAGAATCCATGGTTGAAACCAGTGATTTGCTTAATAGAGTTAATGTTACTTCCCGAGATTCTAACAACAAAAAAATCACATTTAGCAACATTGAGTTTAAGGCCAGAAATTTCATAGAAATAATCCAAAATAGCAATAACTCCAACAACAGACTCCACATTACCTTTACAGAATATCAATAAGTCATCAGCAAAAGATAAATGTGTGAGTTCAATTTTCTTGCATTTAGGATGATAGCCATACAACCCTCTAACAACTGCCATATTGAGCATTTTAGAGAGAACATTCATAGATAGCAAAAAAAGGATAGGAGAAAGAGGGTCTCATTTCCTTATACCTCTGGCTCCCTTGAAGAATCCAATCAAGCTGCCATTAAAAGAAATGGAGAATCTATCTTTAGTGAAACATGCTTCAATCCAGCCAATAAAAATCAATGGGATATCTAAAGCTTTCATAACAACATAAATAAAATCCCAGTGAAGAGTGTCAAAAGCCTTTTGGAGATCAATCTTCATGGTACACCTTGGAAAGATGGATTTCCTACCGTATCCCTTAACCAATTCCTGGGCAAGAATAGTATTATCCACTATACTTCTACCTTTAATGAAGGCAGTCTAGTTAAGAGTAACAAAACCTGGAAAAAAGCTATTAAGCCTTTTGACTAAAATCTTAGTGATGACCTTATAAATCACTGAACAACATGATATTGGCCTGAAGTCTTTAACCTTGCTAGGATTAAGAATTTTATGAACTAGAACAATTGTAGTTGCATTGAAAACAGGCAGGAGAGTAGAATGCTGGAATAAAAATTTTACTGTTGCCACCACATCATCACCAACAATGGACCATGTTTTTTTTTTGAAAAAATAGTGTGTGTATCCAGCAGATCCTGGTTCTTTGTCGTTACCTTGACAGAAAATAGCTTCTTTGATTTCCTCAGTGGTAATATCCTTGACAAGGCTTGAAGAAAGGGTCACTTTCTTTGACATTAGGATCAGCGGTCTCAATCAGATTAGTGTAAAAATCTAGAATTTCAGTAGCCATAGCATCAAAAGATTCAATTCTATTTCCTTTGTCATCAACCAACACTCAAATAGTGTCCTTTTTTATTTTTGCAGCAACTGCAGAGTGAAAGAATTTGGAGCACTTATCACATTCTGTAATCCATTGAACTTTAGCCTTTTGCTTAATAAACATTAACTCTGTTTCTTCAAGACTGTTGAGCTCTTTTTGAATTTTCAGTTCCTTTCCAAAAGAGTCAACTCCTTTTAAAGAATTAAGTTGTTGTTGTTCGAGCTCAATTTTCTTTTGTCTTACTCTATTAGAGATATCACTATAACATGATTTGTTTAAGATCCTGAGGCTAGACTTGAGACACTTTAGTTTATGAAAGAGGATCTGCATTGGATTACCATGAACTGCTCTCTGCCAGGATTGATCAACCATTTTTAAGATTTAAGGTGAAGGGTCCAGAAGTTGAAGAACTTAAATAGTTTGGGACAGTTAGCAGAAGTATCTTTCGAAAGCCAAACAACAACCATACAATGATCAAAGATTCCAGGTGCAAGAAATTCAACAAATGAATTAAGGAAGGTGTTTACCCACATGGTATTGACAAGAACCCTGTCAAGTTTCCTTGCAAGGTAAGAATCAAGTTGTTTGTTGCTCTAAGTAAATGAAGGCCCGAAAAAAGGGTGATCATGAAGGACCAAGTCTTGAGTGACATTCTGGAAATCCTTCATATCAGAATAAGAGTGAGGACATAATTCAAAGTCAGAGCTTTCAATGGGATGAAGAATAATGTTAAAATATCCTCCCAAGATCCACGGAAGGTGACCTATACTCTTATCCAATTCACGCAGATGCTGCCAGAGTTGTCTTCGGATAATGTCATCATTGCTGCCATAGACTGTTGTAACAATAAAAGAGCTACCAAGGAACAGATCCTTTGCAGAAATGACCTAGTCATAAGCACGAAGGATAGATAACTCCAATCATTTCCTCCATAAAACCCATATTGTCCCATTGGTAGTATACTCATAATTAGAGCTAACATTCCAATTAGCTAGTTTTGATTCAAAAATGTCCTTGGACTTGTCGACTTTGAGTCTAGTCTCTAACAAACATAAAACATCAACTTTATTTTGACTTGCCCTTTGAAGCATGCTATCTTGTTTAAGAGGATTATTAAATCCTCTAACGTTCCAAAAACTGATAATCATTGGGAAGATGAACCCAATGTGTTCCCCTATCCACCAACTGAAAGAATTTTAGATTTTTCCATTGTATCATTCATCTTCAATTTAAGCTCCTGTACCAGTCCTGCAACACCCAAAGAAACAGATCGAATTCTTCTAGGGTGGCCCTCTAGGTTAGAAGCATTTTCATCAACCAAATTTAGGACTTCAAATATATTTTTTGAACCAGCTAAAACTGATTTGTCCTTACTAGGTCTGCCTCTACCTCGTTTTGTGATTGTTTGTTGAGGGGCTGAATTAACATCTTCAATATGAACATCAGGATCAGAAGACTTTGTCTAAATATCAACAACAGAGTCATTAAGCTCTTCAGTAGAATCATTAAGTACTTCAGTAGGTTCCTGACAATTATCATCCAATGCAGTTCCATTCTCATGGAGAGCAGCATAGGATGTTGATCCAGAGTTATCACAATTCTCTTACTGAGCAACAATAATTGTTAATCCAGAATTATCAGATTCCTGAAGAGCTTCTATTCCTCCAACAATTGGGGCTTCTGGCTTTAGATTTGAATCACTCTTTTTCTTCCAGACTTGAGTAATGGCTGGAGTTTGAGAGGTTTTATCCGAGCATACCTTTTCATTATGGCCGAATACATTGTATTTTCTACATCTTGGAGGCAACCAAGGTATCTCAACATAAATTGAAGTAGTCTGACCATCTTGTAGAACAACATCAACGTAATTGAGAATTTCATCATTTACCCCAATTTCAACACAAAGTTTAGCAAATTCTAGTCTAGTTTTGGAAGCAGTAACAGAGTCCATTGATAATGGAATTCCAATAGCACTAGCAATGTAGTTAAGGCCTACTTGAGAAAATAATTCAAGAGGTATGTTGTACAAGTGAACCCATATAGGAATTTTTGATAAATCAAAGTTTAACGACGTTCATATGATATAATTTTCACATTTTGGATTTTATTTAGAAGTTAACGGGAGTTAATTCGATCCGCAATAATCACACATTAAGAATATAATTTGTTTAGTACTAAAACCCATTAAGTACACAAAATGTTGTTCAGATTTCACTATGATCCAGTAGGAAAAGTGTTCCATTTTCAGTTTTGTTAGACCTTGGTGAATGTTCTGTAAAATCATCAATTCATCATCAATGCATGATGTCTAATATATAACACGGAAACTTTTTACACAATCCCCGACAGTGATTGAAAACCAAACAATCAAACCCAAAAAACACTACTTTTAAAGTGTAATACTAACTACATAGATTGTATACCGGTTCAAGGGTTCTTCATCTTAATCCTTAGCTTCCTAGCAATTTGTGTTGCTTTCGGATGAACCGGTCGCTTGTTTTCGTCACATTGTTCCACCTCTACCCAATTAATAACCTTGAGTATCAGAGACTGAGGAACTTTCCCTTGGGATTTCTTCTTACCATTCTCCAATGCTTCCTCCAGGAAGTCCATGAACCAGTTACCCGCTTCGGCTTCGATTTGCTTCCCCAATTTTATCGTACTGCTTAAACTGCTCGATACCGGTTTGTTTTCATCGTTCTCGGCCGATGATTCCATAGGCAGTTTCCCTAGTGGAGTTGATGGAACTTTGGAACTTGACCTTATGAGCCTCTTTTGCTCACACCCTGCAATTGATCTGTACAATGCAGCTCGCCTTTTGGTTTGGTCCATCGAATTGTGAACGATTTCATTCAAGATTGCCGGTTCATCTTGTGACATTTTGGTAATAGCCGAAGTAGCTGCCTGGACCGACACTATCTCACTCAAGGCTTGCACGATTTGGGCATGAAATTCCAGAAACTGGTCGATGCATGCCGATGGAGCTTCTGGTTTTGCTGATTTGCTCAAACTGGAAAACATCCTAAGCACACAACCAGAAATTTAGCAGAACATAAACATTTAAAAACATCAACTTAAAACAAAAGGGAAAGCACAAGAAAAAAAGACAGTTTTGATTACTTGAGAGACCGAACTAAGTTCTCTGTGGCAGTGACATCTCTTAGTGCTTGAAGAGCAATCCTCTGAGCTGTTTCTCGTTGTTGAACAGCCTCCTGTTGAACCACAAAAAGTCAGGCTAACCGTAAACGATGATGAAATCGACAATGGATGACTTAAATTTTTAAACTAACCTTCCCCAACATGCCAAGTTTTCCAGGCAAATTCATGGCTAGACTTTTGTTGTTATCAAGGGCTGAGTTATTAGTATCGAGTTGGGATTCTGGTGAGTTATTTATGGAAGCCGAGGCCATCCTTCCACGCTTAAAACTCTGTGGTGGGGTTGAACTTTTCTTTTCCTGCAATGGCTGAAAATTGAGTTGAATCATCAAGAGAAAAAACACCATTGAAAAGCTAAATTCGAGTAAAAAACATAGCATATTGTACATACAGCTGAGTTGAGAGGACAGATTGGGATCCGAGGCTGGCGGTCGATTACACTTTTACTCCTCGGAAACTTAGAGGTTGAAGAAGGTGCAGCACAGCTTTTCCTAAGCAAAGCTGGACTTTCTCCTCTAGTATCCATCATTTTAGCCAACAATCCCCCACCATAAGAGCCCCTTACACCACCACTAGCGTTCGCTATTCTCGGTACCATCGGCGACATCATCGGAGTTCTCCGCTCTTTCACCGGAGTACACTGATCGAAATCCAAAGGCACCGGCTTTAAAACCAAAGGAGAAGAAATCCCATCAGTCCCATTAAGGACCTTCCCCCCAAGAGCCTCTCCTATGCTTACTTTTCTCCCCTTTTTTCCTTAACCCCATTAAAGGCTCAGGTGTCCCAACTAAGGGATGCCTCCCGGGGAGTGGCTTAGCACCTTTAACAACAGGGACAGGAGAGCCAGGCTCCAATCTATCAACATAAATGAACTGCCCGAGTTGCATCTTGTTGCTAAGAACAAAATCGTCTTGGTCGGAAGGAAGACTAACGTAAATGGAATGCGATGAATCCGAGACCTTGATGTAAAACCCATGTTTAGGCCAAAGATTCTTCTCGTCAAGATCGGCCGGCACAATATCAGTGACCTGCAAAAGCGAGTTTCTGTGTTCACTCGTTGGCTTCACCCCAGTGTTCATACCATTGAGTAGTTTCAGCAGAATCCCAGGAGCCAGCGTTGCCATAATTTTCGTAATCTTTTGTAATGAAAGAATCGAAAAGGTATTTCCAAACCTCAAGGCATTAAAGAAGTGATGTTGAATCTTTGGTAGGACGAGACGTTAGCAACGGTAAGTTTTGAGTTTTTGAGAAAGCAATGGCTTTTAAAAAAAAAATGGAACTTTTGGAATGTTGGGACAACGGTCATAAGTTCGGGCTTCTTTGTCATAATGATTTTTAATTATACAAATGGGAATACGTTTGGTTCCGGTTGCTCACCTGCTTTACTTGCGATTAGGATAATCCGTAACTATGTAAACGACGTCGTTTTACTAACTCTGTAGCCTTCTTTTGAAAATTCCAATATTGGATTCTCTCTCCCGATTGTTTAGGGGCGAAGCTATATTTATCCAGATAAGAAGTCCCTACCAATCCAACTTCATAAATGAATAGATAGGAATGTATATTTTACCTACTAGTTTAACTCGATCCAATTTTATTGGATTGGTTATTTGTTTTTAAAATAACAAAATTCATGTTGGACGGTAATGAAATGATTTTGGAATAGAATCAAATCATGTTAAATTTAGATTTAAAGTAAAAAAAATTAATTTGATCTAACTCGATATAACTCTATAATTATCTCTTATATATTTAGAGATAATTGATATTTTTTTAACTAAGTCTTTATTTTACTTATTTATTAAAATGAGCTATATATGTACATTTAGATCGAGTAAAGTCAAATTAGATTTGAACACTGCATCCGCAAATTGTAATGCATTATCAAATAGTTAAGAAAATCCCGAACATATCTTACCTCAGTATCAATGAGGTAGGTTGCAACGTTATGACCGGAAGGATACGGTTTCAATTAAAGGAAACAAAAAAGAAACAATCAACTCTACTGGTACCCTTTAAATGAAATTTTAATTCCAACTCCAATGGTACTTATAAAACAACCATAAGGTAAAACCAACCTTATGATTGTCAACCCAGACATTCAATGAATCTCGCTCGAAATGCCAATTTCTTGGGACATTCAAGAAACGTCAGGTAATGAAAAAAATCTTATTACACAACATGGCGGCAAGAGACAACATGCAACTCCCCTTTCCAAGGTTCAATATTATGTTTGATCTGAAACAAGCAGAGAAACAAAATCTTCTGCAGATGATGGTCTGAGCAGCATCGACGATAGCAGCAGGTGATGCTATAGAGGAGTTGCAAATCCTGTTAGAATAGTCCAAATCGATCAATAGCCGCACTAGTCAAAGGCATCGTGCTATAATACACTTATTCTGGAAACTGATGACAGATATGCATCCAACTAAACAGAAAGTGATGTTTATTCAAGTGTTTCAAGTTTATGAAATTATATGCCGCTTCAACATGCTCATACGACTAAAACCGATAAAGCCTTCCATTGCATGCAAGAGTATGTAAAACCACAATTAAGATGGAACACATGGCTTATAAGGGTTAGTAAATGAAAAAACCGCTGCAGTATAAAATGTATGCACGAAGATGTTTCTGAAAAATAGTTTCAAGGGGTGTCAACAACTTCGGATAGATTGAAAATTTAAAGAGCAATAAGAAGTTTTGGCAGAAGATTAAATTTCAAAAACAACTTGCTATAACCCATTCGCAACAGTCAACTCCTTCAATTGAAAGATGAAGATCAGAAAATAGCCAGTTTAAGTTTCCCAAGGAGAAGAAAATATTTACAGCTGGTAACTGCTTTTTTTGTGTATACATATATATATATATATTTGAAAACAAAGTGTTGTAGCACGATGATGTTAACAAAATTTCACTCAAAGACTTCCTAAAGAGATACAAGAAATCTAAGAGAAAAGGTATAAAAACAAAAAAGACAACACCGAGGTTTCTTCACTACTAAAGTGGCTGGCAGCATATTTGAACATGGCAGTGACAACAATAACATTGGAGGCATCAAGGGAAATTTCCCAACATCTAAAGCGAATAGTTGCACAATAATTTTTTTTTGTATTGTCTATTGATAATCTCCCCCCCCCCAACCAGCATATAATCCTGCGCCCGGCCATGTTTCGCCAAAGAACGGAAAACAATAAGAGACTGTCTACAATGATGTTCATTATAATGTACATCCCCAAAACTTTTTGTCTACCATTCTGTTCACCAATCAAAGGGCAAAATATCTCAAACACGATTACATTTTCTTCCCTAAAAAAAAGAGACATATAATGCAGCAACGAATAGACATTTCAGACACTAATACACTGCTATAATGCAACTCAAAAACCACTACAATAAGCTAAAGAAGAAGATAAAAACAAAAGTTAGCATAGGCAGCAGAAATTACCTTCAGACAAACACCCCCAGCTTTGATTATGCAAGGACAACAATGAAGTGAACAAAGCAGAAGCCGTAACACTATGCAATGGCATCAAAGTTACTGCACCACCCAATTCCAGTGGGAGCCTAAAACAGAAACATCAAGCAAATTCTTACTCAGAATTTAGAATAAACCAGAAAAAAAAATCCATAGAAAGGTTCCAAAAAAATTACTAGAAGCAATAGAAAAAGTGAGAGTAAAATACCCATAAAATTTTGTAGCAAAGAAATGAAGCAATAACTTTGAAAATGGAGGTAAAACCTGCAAGAAGTGAGATTGCGGAGAGAGAATCGAGAAGCAGAGATTTTGGTAGGAGAGAAAAGGTCAGCCAGCTTGTTATTAGCAGGTCTTGATGATGGTAAATGGGTCAAAATGGTCTTGGCTGAAGCGCATGAAAACCCCAGGGTTCTTCTTCCAGAAAAAGCCGCCATGTTTCCTCTGGGTTCCCAAAAACCCTGAACCCTAAAACCTCAAATCTCTTTTTTTTTAGTTTTATTTTGAGGGTGAATTGTAATATTCTTCTCTAAACTTTATTATCTTTTATTTTACTCAATGTACTCTTAATTTTTCTAATTTACTCACTAAATTTTCGAATTATTTCGGTTTTCAACATTTTAGATTATTTTATTATTGATTTTGTATGATGTAGAATTTACTATTATTATTTAATGTAAAAATTATTTATAATAAATAATTTATAGTAAATTGACCCTCAAAATTAAAGACTTATTTTATTATTATTAAATTTAAAAAGACTTAAAATAATCGTTGTCCACCTTCAAGAAATGATGTATTTTATCCTTATTTTGACGAAGATGGAGTTGCTGTTTCTGGGCTGAATATATGCAATTCATGAAATTTTGTTTTAAAAGTAAGCTTTGAATTTGTTTATGTATTGATTACGGTGAGGTGGGGTGGGATTAGGAGTTCTCATGGGTTGGGATTGGCTCGTGGTTAAAGAATTTTGTAAAACTCTAAAACTAATAAACTTATAGGCGTAGAATTATTGTTAAAATTATTTTCAATAATTGGTCCCTCAAAATAAAATGTCTAATTTTATCATTATATATTCTTATTTAATTTCAAATGGGGCTTATTTAAGAAGCATTGCAAAATTTGAGGTGACAATGAGAATTAAAAAGATGAAACCTTTATAAAACAATTAACTCGAAAGGTGTAATGGGAAAATTATAAGAATGAATCTAAGCCCAGACTTTTTTCTTACATGAAGTACAAAAAGATAAGAACTCATCCCTTTTTTCTTTTCCTTTCCTTTTCTTCACGATTAGTTTGTGTTAAATTGGCCATGGAATTTTTAACATCTTCTATCAAACTTAAAAAAAGCACCATATATCAAACTTAAAATGCAATTTTTGAAAATTGCATGGACAAATTAGAAAGTCAAAGCCAAGTTGATTCATCTTTGACCAAAGAATATTTTAATGGAGAATATGGAAATGGCATTTGGTAAATTTTAAGATTTCCTTAATGCAAAAATGGGAATTCTCAAGAATTGAATTTTAAATTCAATTAAATTGCCATGTGTATTAGAAAATGTCTAGACGATTTTAGAATTCTTCTTCCTCCATCAGTTGCTGCTGTGAACCCCTTCAAGGTAAGAAAAAAAAATTCTTTTCATTTTTTAGTTATTTTAGTAAGATTTTGGAAAAAGTTGTGAAATAAAAAAATGTTCTACATCAAATTCTCTATCTTTTGACACCAATATTTCATGGTGAAGATGCTTATATGTTGAGATTTAAAGTTAGGGTTTATGTAGGGGTTATGGAGATTGAAGAATTGATGAATGGTTTTTATGTTTTTGATGTTGGAGATTAATTTTAAAGCATGTATGATGATTAATTTGATGTGTACATGTTTTGGCATAATTAGGGTTTTTGGAAATGTTGGGATATTGATGTTGTTATGGTTAGAATAGCATGAATTTAATGTAAGGAAGTTGAATTCATGTTTGAAATTGAATGAAAAAGTTCACCCTACGTACTTAGTGATATTTGACCAATTGGGGAAAAATTAGGGGAAAATATTGAAAAATTTTCTATGGTTTAGAATTGATATTAGAAGTGTTATAAGTGACTTGAAGATCAATTTAGATCAATCTGGAACCTTGAAAGTGAAAAAAAGCTAGTTTACAAGTTTTAAGGATTTTGGGACATTATTGTATAAATGTGAGATTTGGAGTATTCAATGATACTATTTAATATTTAGATGCTGGAAAATTAAGTTGGAAAGTTATTTGGAACCAAGTTGAAAATTTGGTAAGAGTTTGGTTGTTTGCAAGTTAATAAATGTAGAAGTGTCATTTGCGTAAATTAGGACAATTCTGAAAATTCTGGAAGCTTGCTGAAATTTTTGTTTAACTACTAAGTTTGAATCAGATTACAAGTTTACAGAGATTGGAAGTGAATTGACAAAGTTTAAGGAAGTATATGATGAATTTACAAGCTTTTGAATGTTTAAGTATTGATTTGAATACTTTATGAAGGTGTTGGAAATTTTATGTTATTAATGTGAAATAATCATAATGATGAAGGATCACTATGAAGTTAATAGAAAAGTTAAGGTGAATTCTAGAAATAATTCATTATTAGTGGTTTGATTGTGTAGTTGGCAAAAATTGAAGGGTTGATAGTGAAAATAAATATTCATAGGACCGAATAAGTATTTTAAGAAGTTTGAAAGTTACGATGGAAATACGATTTAGATTTATATCTATTTAAGTATCGGACTTATTTCTATTGAATTTTTATATTTAAGTTTAGATCATGTTAGTTTGATGCTAACATATAGTTTGAATATTTTATGTTATTATATAATGTCGGTAAATCAAGGTAAATTTAGTGATTCAAGTAGCTTAAAAGGGAAGGAAAAAGTGTGGGAATCGAGAAGATTATCGAGGAGGAAATTTGACATGAAGGTAAAGGTGAGTGCATTTAATTCGCATTTGTGTTATCGTACAACATTGGCTTGCGATGAGCCAGGGACGGAGTTACTACGATAAGAAGTGACTCCTAATGTTATGTAAATTATGATTCTAGCCTAAAGGTTTGTTTTTTTAAAAAACTTACAGAGTTATGAAATTAAGCTAAGAATGCTAATTAAGGAAAGTTGTCTAGAAATTAGAATTTGAACAACGAGTTTAGAAATTCACCGTAAATTATAAAGGATTGATTAGAGGATGATATCCATACCATTAGATTCATGTATCAGTCTAGATTCGTTTAAAACAGACGGTGACTAATTTCGAGGTGTACACAAAAAGATATGAATTTTTAATCGATGATAGGACAGAAAACGAGGCAGCAGATTCTGCCGAAACAACTTTATCATTTAACTTTGAAAATTCGTTATAAATTGTAAAAGTGGAACTAGAAGGAATGTCTTATATGTTTAGATTCGTATTTGAGTCTAGTTTTCATTAGTGCAAACAGAATAATTTTTCAATATATTAATTAATACAAAATAATATTTATTTAAAGGTAGTGCAAACTACATGAATATAGAATTTTGATAAATTATATATTGAAAGTAGTGGAAGATAAATTATTTAAATCTAAATCTTAGTGAGACTTATATTTTGATTTAATAATAATAAAGTGTTAAAGTGAGTGCAATTTGCTTGTTTGATTATTATAGTCGTCCTCGACTTGTGATAAGTTAACATCATTTTGTTTTCCAGTATGATTTATAAATTTTAGTATGAAATAATTCTATAAAATTTTACATCAAGTTTTATGAATGATTTTGGGTATGAACTGCCCAAGTATGATATTTATGATGATGAATTCTAAATATTTACAGTTATCAAATAATTATCAATATCAAATATTTTACAGTTATCAGATACATATTAATAAATGATTTTATGATGATAAATATAAGTCTTGATAAATATAAGTCCATTGTATATTACATTGAGAGTCGTAGGTACATTTGGCAAGCCATTAAGTGAGTACTTATCAGTTCAGCTTTGATACATTCGTGTATCAATGTTCAGTTATCAGTTCATCTTTGGTATATTCGTGTATCAATTTTCAACACCGTTGGTACTCATTCATGTTATGATTGAACTGAAGTGCATCATATCTCAGTTTCAGTTATGATTTGGCACAGTGTTGTGCCTAGTGCGCACCTTAAACTCATGTACCTTATATTCTCTTACATATACTCAATTTTACCTTTTATTCAATTTGGTCCTTTAATTATTTTTTTTCCAAATTCTTTATTCCCATCAATTATTTGAATCATTTATAATCTCATCAATACTTCTTCCTTAATTCCCTTCTTAAAAAAAACATTATATATATATTTTATAATTTTAGATGGTATTTGATTTATTAAATAACTTTACAAATCTTACTTATACATGTGAAAAATATGAAGATACTGAGATATATATATATATATATATATGGTTAGAGAAATTCTTTTAAATTAGAACCAATTATTACTAAATATTATAAATAATTACAATTAAATTTGAATAGAAACTCGAACAACTCAACTATACTCGAAAAAAATTCAAATAAAATTTGGCTGATAAAATAGGACTCGTCAACTCGAATTTTTTTGACTCGACTCGATTGAATACTCGCCCCTACTTTCAACAACATCATTTAGGTGAAGTGATTTTTCAGTTCAAACTAATGTCTGCTAATGTGTTAAACACTATAGTTGGTCTAGATTCATTCTTGTCATACTTGAGTTTCTTATTTGAATCTGATTGAACTAGTCTGCCTAATTCCATTATTAAAGTCACCAATTTTACTTCCTTTTCCTTAATGAAACAGGAAAGGGGAACTTTCTATGTAACCACACGGATAATACCTAAACAGGAATCAACTTCAAATTCTGCAAGTGTGACGGAATTTATCACCTTGATTCACTTTAATATTTTACTTTGTCTTACACTTGGCACTTTCTGCTGTTAACTTGTCAATAATGAACAACAGTGTCAGGCTATTAGTGAGGAGGAAATATTTGCCATACAAAATGAGCGGTCACTTTTCCCAGTGGGATGGATACATGTATGTTCACTTCTTTTTTATATTAGTTTCGTTTAGATTTCTGTTTCTTTGCTCCTAGATTCACAAGAAATAGGTGAAATTCTCAAAGGCAAGTACCACTACGCCCTCAAACTGACCTCAGTTTCATGTTTCTTGTCTTCTTTCAGACACATACTTCTCAGAGTTGTTTCATGTCATCAGTAGATCTCCATACTCAATACTCGTATCAGGTAATTATGTTAATCGTTTATGCAGCCCAATTATTGCTCAAAGATTGGGTCTAGATCATCCTAGACTCCAATCTATTTATTCCTCTCTGGATAACTGTCTTATCAAAACAAACAATGTAATACTATTACTATATTCCGTTCACTCAACCAAACAATGCAATACTATTACTTCTCTATTCCATTCCTACCGAATAGCATTCAACTCCTACTCTATTACATCACAGCAAACCAAATCTACAGTAAGATTATTGCCACAGTATGACATTTCTCAAATTATTTTCAGGTGATGGTGCCAGAGGCTTTTGCCATTGTTGTGGCTCCTACTGATAATTCAAGGTCTGCCCCTCACACACAATGATTGAATTGTTGACAACTTGGATTATGTCACAGATAATACTGATAATGCTTCATCTGTTTATCTAGGTTTATTTTTGATCCACTTTCTTTATTTTGGTTTTCCATCATGCTGATTAATTATATATTTCTTGGTCTCCAATATGCAAGACTTCCCTTTGGCCTCTGTAACGTACTAACATGTGAGTATTGCTTCCTATCATGGACACATCATCCTACATTATCTATTCATTGCCTTTATATGTAAGACAGATGTGCCTTTGATATAAAGATGGATTGGTTTTAGGCTACTTCTCACATATCTATCAAAATTTCACTTTTCTTCACATTCTATGAAGTGTAAAATATGAATCTAGCTGGTATAAGCAGACTTTGATCAATGTTGACTTTGTTTCTTTCTAGTTCATCTGTATTTTCAGGGCAGCTGCAGGCTCACTGTGTAGCCCTCAAATTATACTCTCAAACAAATTAGTTCTAGATGTTTATATGGCAAAATATTAAATTTAGAATCAAATTCTAGGTGAGACAGCCTCAACAGACATGCACTAATTGCAAAATTTTTGCATAAAAAAATGAGTCCTCTCTATTTAAGTTAAAAAAAGTATAAGATATGCTTTGTGTGCAATTGTTTTAAAGTCATGATCAAGTTAATAGCATTGAGCTTTCATTATTGGATTTCTTTCCAGGAGTTATGGGATATTCCGAATATCCGATCCCAGTGGAATGAGTGTCCTGAAAGAATGCCAAGAGAAAGGATCTCAATTTCATTCTCACAAAGAAACAGTAAATGGGAGCCCCATATATGAACACTGCACTCATGTCTACACAAATTCAAATCTAAGGTTTGAGATCTTTGACCGGCGCTGAAATATGAAAATGTCCACAATTAAATGGCTGCAACCTGCATGTCACATAACAGAATATTGCTGATAGGAAACGGTATTTCTTTTGATAAGCGAGCATACTACTAGTCATCGTATGTAATAATGATGAGGATGCTCCTATATTGTGTTTTAATAAATTACATTTTTACTTGTTATGCGTGCATTTAATTTTGTTTAGAATTAGTTATTTTACACTAATAACGAAGTCTTCCAGATGCTGTGATGGGATTCGGAGGACCAAGACCTCTCCTTCGACGCCCTGAATATTTTTGAAGTCGCCCATATAGAACTTTTCTTCTAACCTAAATCACTTTTGCAATCGACATGATCTGTAATGGTAGAGAACTTGTATTCTTATTCTGGTAAGATCAACTTCATCTTACCAAAACATTTGTGTTTTTATCTTTACATTTACATCTTTCTTTTTTTTTAATATTATCTATATCTTTGTAATCCATATATATTTAAAAGAGAATTTAACTAAAGTATATGAATCATTAGGAGAGAACAGATTGAACCTTTATGAAGATAGGTTTGGCTATTGGTTCCTAATAATTCATTGATTTTTATCGGTTTTGGAATAAAGTAGTAAACTTTACTTGTGTAGAGAATGTTGTGTATAGTTTCTGTTAGTGTTATTTTGATCCCCTTGCTGAGAAAAAAGCTCGGCTCTGCCCTTGTCCTAGGGAAACCTACGTCCTTTTTCTTGGTTCGCTTTCCTTTCCCGGCCTTTCAACTTTCTAGAGGACATCATCTGTCATTGGTCCATTTCTTGCATGTAATAGGGAATCTGTACTGATCTCGAGACTTGAAAGAGCTTTTCACATTCATACTTTTTTGAATGTGGTCCCCAATTATAGTATCACTTTGCTGACTGTTGATGTCATGTCAGCTGTTGGTGGTTCACTCCTAATTTAGACGGAGAGTCTCGACCGATGAGAGAATGGCCATTGGCTGGTGTTTCTATGTGTGAGAGTTGGTCATAAGGAAGAAGATTATGGATGCTGGGATCCCCCTACTCAGTTATAGATGTTGGGTATAGTGCTTCTAGCTGGTGGTGTCAAACATAGTCATTATAGTTATTTGTAGGTCAGCAGACTAAATAGATCTTGTCGTTAGATCTTGAATTTCACTTTGGTAGGTCATATGGGTTTGTCAAAGATCTTATCTATGCACTGTAGATGGTTCGGAGACCTGCGTCCGGAGGATGCGGGCTCCTTAGAGTCTCTAATAAACGGAAAATCTCTCCTGAAAATCTCCCCAAGAGTCTTTGTTAACGAAGAGTTAGTAGTTTCTAGAGATTATCTTCAGAGGTATAACACTAATCGATACGCTTGTTTGTAGGATTTAGTCTAGGGATTAAAGGTTGCCGATGTTAAAACGAACCCAGATCTATTAGGTGCCATCTCTTAAACTCTACGAACCATTTGAACTATGTTTCGGTTTGATGTATATATGCTTTTATTAGATGATTATTGTTTGCCCAAACAATGACAATTGTCCGGACTAAACTCTACCCGACATTCAGACTACAAATAAAGTACACGGTTGTTTGAACATAATGTTGTTAGGGCCCCAACTCGTTTGTTTGTCTCGAGGATCATCCTGTTTCATGCAATTTAGATATTTTATGTATATATTACAGAAAGTTGAATGTCTAAAAGTTCTGACTCTATTAAAGATAGGTGGCAGCAAGAACTTATTCTGTGGCCTTCATTCATCTTCTTTATAGGACATGGGACCGGAAGGTTAGAACTATTCTAATTTGATTTTGAGATCTCCTTTGGAATGCATCAATATGACAAAATTATTGAGGGTGTGTTCGAAAAGTCGTCCGATAAATAGATTTGGGTGTAATTGTTTGAGTTATACTAAATTGGGTGTCATTAGAGCATAATTAGGGATGGGTATGGGTCGGGTTTTGGTCCACCCGACCTAACCCGATAACAATGAATCCTCTACCTTAGATCCGACCAGATCAAAACAAGATTCCATCTGACCCGACCTTGACCTGGTATATAACTTAAAAACCCGACCCGACATGAAATAATAATAAAAATATTATTTTTATTCAATAAAACTAATGATTTAATTGAAAAAAATAATATATAGAGGGTTATTATTATAATTATTTTTAAATATATAAGAAAAAATATATTTTTTTCGGGTTGGATATTTTTCATCCTAAACCCGAACCCGACCCAATCCGACTCGAACATCAAATTAAAAAAATCCCGACCCGACTCCACCTAAACCTAATTTTTTTTAAAAAAATCGATCTGATCAAATCGGGTCGAAATCCGTCGGGTCATGTCCATTCCTGAGCATAATCATAGTATTCAATTTTTATATGGACTGAAAATTAGAGGAATAAAGCGAATAACAACTTTCTTTTATTCGTTTTTAATTGGCGTCTCGTTGAGTTGTATGGAATAATTATACTTTGGCAAATTATTTTTTTGTCAATCAAACACATTAAATGTATCAATTTTTTCTCTGTCAACGTATATGTTAAATCAATCTTGCTATTCGTTTCTAGTGTTGTATTTACCAAAGGAAAATTCTACAACCTTATACGCATACAGTTGAGCACTAATAACGATGAATATCGTTAAATATTATTAATTTAATTTATTAAAATTTAAAATTTTAAAAGACTCAACGTATAATTATAAATTAGTTAAAAAAATTAAAGCAAAATTATTTAAAATAAAATATTAATTAAATTATTTTTTCATAATTTTTTTAACAATAATTGGATCAAATATCAATTTTTAAATATTTTGGATTTATTAATTTAGGGGTTGGTTTTTGATCCAATTATTGTTAAAAGAAATTGGAAATTTTTATAATTTATTGAAAATTTTATATAATTTATAATTGTATGTTGAGTTTTTTAAGATTTTAAATTTTTATAAATTAAATTATTAGTGCTCAATAGTTCTCATCATTAATGATGTTCAACGGTGTTCGTCGAGCTTAGCAAATTCATCCTTTACCCGAAGTTTACTGACATGGATTTGTATCATATTTTCATTTATTATCAAAAGTTTTAGATAATCAAAATATTTTCATTTGACACACTTACATGGTTATGTTATTTATTGGCATTGTCTTTTGGAGTTAATTGTAGAGGTCCCTAAATTATGGTTCCCATTTTAAATTGGTCTCTAAATTTAGAACACTTTATATTAGTCCATAAACTTTGAACCCATTCTAATTTGGTTCTTAAATCTTAATTTTTTTTGTATGTTCTCAAATTATTATTTTGATTCTTTTGTTAATGTATCGTACTCTACTGATTTTTGAAGCTCTTGAGAATGAAGTTGTGACCTAAGAAAATTAATTTTTTATGGTCTTGAGAAATGAATTCGTGGTCTAGAAATTTAACATGTTTAAAGAATCTTGATAATTTTTTTGGAAGGTTATAGGTTTAATTTATATGACCAAAAAGTATATTAAAATTTTTAATGGGCAGAACTAAAGGTACGCTAATAGAATAATTAAAACAGATTAATACTAATGTTTTAAATATTGAAATAGAATATTTTAAAATTTAGAGATCAATTTAAAACGTGAGTCGTAATTTAAAAACTAAAATCGAATATTTTAAAATTTAAAGATCAATTTAAAATGTGAGTCGTCGTTATAAAATATTTTAAAAATTAAAAAAAAAATCGTTCCGAATGAGTATAATTTGTAGATATCTTGTACAAGTATTTTATTTTCTTTCATTTTATGTTTTGCTTATGTTAATTTTTAAGTGGGACAAGTGTAAAAAAAGTGTGGTGAAAGGATGGTCCCCTCGGTAAAATTGGTCGGGTTTAGCCTTTAGGTTGAGCAATTTGCACGAGAAGATGCAGGGAAAGGTCACCCCCCACGTTTCCGTCTGTGAACCAAATAATAGAGTTGCGTTCCGAGCTGTCATATACCAACAGCTCTTTTCTGAATGTAAAAAAAAAAAGTTTTTTTTTTCGTTTACGAAACTTATTTAAACTTTCATTCATAAATTGAAAAGGGAATAATGTGCTGCGAAATTCATCCACACCAACCATATGTAGCCTTACGATAATCCCAAAATTACAATTTTTAAAAGCACTTTTAAGAAAAATATTTGTGAAAGTTCATCGATACACAAACTATGACATAAAAAGAGGTTGCAACTTGTACCATAAAGATACTCGACGCGTGTAGTTAATATTAGTTGTAAAAGTAAAAGAAAAAAAAAGTTGTCTTATCTATTCCAAATAGGGACATTTGTCAACCTAACGACATTTTTTTTACCCTTCTATTCAAAGGTGTTTTTTTTAAGAGAAAATAACCTCAGTGATCAAAAATCTTAGATAATATACGATTTTAACCAATATTTTTTGGATTTGCGAAAATGACCAACAAAATCGCAATGCGATCTCTAATTCGCATTGCGATCTCCACTATCATAAATTCGCGTTGCATTTCGCGTTGCGATAGTTGAAAATCGCGTTGCGTTTTTCCATTTCGCGTTGCGATAGTTGAAAATCGCGTTGCGATTTTCCATTTCGCGTTGCGATTTTCCATTTCACGTTGCGATAGTTGAAAATCGCGTTACGATAGTTGAAATTCGTGTTGCGATTTTCCATTTCGCGTTGCGATCATCTACAGTTGTCGTTGCGATTTTCCAAATTCGTTGCGATTTTCCAAATTCGTTGCGATAGTCTACAGTTGTTGTTGCGATTTTCCAAATTCGTTGAAAAAAAAGATTTTGTTTCTTAAGAATTTTCTCTAAAAAGATAGTATCCGCGCGGACGTATCGAAGACACGTACGACCACGACCACGACCACAACCCGAGACGGGACGGCGGCGGCGGCGGCGGTGCGCGAGAGTCCCCCTTGTTCCCTATCACTCAACAAGAAAGTGGGAAAGCCAAGTCTTAAATACCATTCCCAATAGTGTTTCCAATACAATGTGGGATTGAGCATTACCAACACTTGTTTCTAATACAATGTGATTATTTAGGAAACAATTAACAATCATGCACCTTAAAATAACTAAATCAGCAACCAATTGCATTAGTATTATACGATTAAATATGTCATAATTAAAAGTCAATCTACAATCAATCGCGATTATTGCAATTTTAAGCAAAACATTCAAAAATAATATCACTATTTAAGGCTCAATCCCACATAGTATTGGG